CAGATGAGAAAACTGAGGTAAAGAGAAGTTTCATGACTTGCCTAAGATCCACAGCTAGTAAATGATTCAAGGAGGAGTTAAACACTGCTCCTGGAACCTGTATGGAACTAGACACCAGGCACTCAGTACCTGCCAGTTCCCCCTCTTTTCTCTGCAGCCCATGAGCTGGCCCACTGCTTCCGCTTCCCTCTTGTGTTGAAGCTTATACCCTTTGGTTCAGTGTTCTTACTCTTGTCACTCTGATGTCTGTTTCAGGGGCAGTGCAGGGACAGATTTCCAGGTGGCTTGGATTCCGTTTTTTTGTAGAGCCATCCAAGGGGCTGCTTTTGGCTTGAGTGTTGCCAGGAAGGAATCTGTTCCAATTTCATTGACCTCAGGAAGGAGTCTGAGTGGTCAGGGTCCTGAGAATTTCAGAGATCTACAGAAAGATCGGCTTGTGCAAGTAAGGTCAGTCCTTTCCTTCTTAGAGAATCAAAACTCAAAAACAGCCAGATAATGGCTTGTGTTTGCAAAACACAGTGCTGTTCACAGCATGTGATCTTTTGTCCCTCTGCTCTTAGGCACACCATTGGGATTATAGCCAGAGCACATAGGGGATCAAAGGGGAGCAAAGGGGGTGGGTTTGGGGTCAGACAGACCTGGGTCCATGCCCTGGCTCTGCTCTTTACCAGCTACAATGCTTTAGGCTAGTTATCTACCCTTTCTGAAGGTCCAGCTCTTTGTGCACAGAATAAATGTCCCATCCTTTCTCCTCTCAAAGTAAAAATGAGGGATATTTAGTATAGGGCCATGCACTTACGGTTGGAGCTCAGAATTCCATAATTAACAAACAGTGTTACAGGTTGAACATCCCATATCTTAAAATCCTAAATCCCCAATTCTCCAAACTATAAAATGTTTTGAGCACTGACATGATGCCACAAGTGGTAAATTTCACATGCAACCTCATATGACATGTCCCAGTCAAAAGAGATACAAACTGGGTGTGGCGGCTCTCGCCTGTAATCCTAGCGGCTTGGGAGGCTGAAGCAAGAGGATTGTTGAGTTCAAAGCCAGACTCAGCAACTTTAGCAGGGCTCTAACTAACTCAGTGAGACCTTGTCTCTAAATAAAATACAAAAATGGGCTGGGATGTGGCTTACTGGTATAAGTGCCCCTGAGTTCAGTCCCGGGTTAAAAAAAAAAAAAAGTAGATACACTAAAAATATTGTACAAAATTAACATCAGACCATGTGTATAAGGGATATGTGAAACACAAATGAATTTTGTGTTTAGACTTGGGCTCCACCCTTAAGATATCTCATGTATATGTATATATTCCAAAATCCTAAATATTTCTGATCCCAAACATTTTGGATAAGGGATATTCAACCTGCATTTGCTATTTAAAAATGAGAAAAATGAGTCACAAGGGGAAGTCCCTGGCTAAAGACCCCACTACACAGTGTTGCCAGTTATATTTGCATCATCAGCTGTATCTTTCTGAAGAATGAGGCTTTCTGGACTTCTTAAGGGTGTGTTTACTATACTCCAGGGCAGCAGGCCAGGAGCGCCCCTCCCCACTTCCTCAAGTGTTAAATGAAGTGACAGATCCTACTCTCCTTCTTTCTCTTCCTGCCCTCCTACAATGCAGAGGCCACTTGGTCAGGATATGTACAAGAATTTGATCATTCAACACACATTCTTGAGTACCAACTGTCACCAGGCCTTGTGATAGGATGCAGGGATGTAGCAAAGAACAAAACCGGCAAGGTTCCTGCCCTCATGGAGTATCAGATGTCAGGAAGTGCTCTGACAAATGAAGTGGAGGGTAGACAGAGTGATGGTGGCTCATTAGCCAAGGAGCCAAGGGTACCCTTTGTTGGGGATACCATAGGGGTGGAGACCCAGAGGAGGAGCACAAAAGCAGAAGGAATAGTTGAGACAGAGCCTTCTAGGAAGGATAAGGCCAGTGTGACTGTGGAAGACGGTCAGGGATGGGGTAACGGAGGTGATGAAGGTGGAGAGCTCCACAAGTCAGATCAAATAGGGCCTTGGTAAGAAGTAGAGTTTTGTTTGGGGGCAATACAGGGCTCTGATAGGGGTCATCTGTGATTGATGCTCCCAGCACATAGGGCCTCACTTGGGACAGTGCTCTGTAAAGCTGTGACATGACTAAGTGCTGTAGTTGTGTATTATCACCATAATCAATCTGTCTCCTCACCAAGCTGAGCTCATCCAGGACAGCTTTGACCACCTTTTCCAGGACCCCAGAAAGCCTGACACTTAGTCATAAACAGAATTTTGCAAATGCTTATTAAGAAACAGGATGGGGGCTAGGGTTGTGGCTTAATGGTAGAGCGTTCCGCTCGTCTCGCATGTGTGCAGCCCTGGGTTCGATCCTCAGCATCACATAAAGATAAATAAATAAATAAAATGAAGGTATTGTGTACAACTACAACTAAAAAATAAAAATTAAAAAAAAAAGAAGCAGGATGGAAGAAATAATAAAAGAGGGAGAGGGATACAGGAAGGATCTCTTCTCCTTGGCTGTGAGACATGAGCCACAGGGTACCAGCAAAGTTATTAAGACATGGAAACTTCTTTTGGGGGCTTCTCGTTTGTAGCCTGGGCACCTCTTAGCAAAAAGCTTCAGATAGGTGTCCCTACTTTCAGCAACAGTCTGGAGCTCCTGCATGGTATGCAAATAGGCACATATAGAAAAAAGGTCAGCCTGTGGTCCCTCATGCTCTGTAGTTGAGCAGACCTGTTTGGAATCAACAGTTCCCAGCAGGGAGGGTCTTCACAGAGTGGATGTACAGTAAGGCATGAGCTCCCTCTGGCCAAATTCATTCAAGCTGGAATGAAGTAGGAGTTCTACTTTCTTATATGACCTCTGAGGTTCCTCCCCACTCTTGATCAGTTAGTGAATAATTAGTGCGATAAGACTAGAACTAGATCAAAGGAAAACACTTTTGCTATGTTAGCTGGGTCAGAACCCAGAGACTATGGGGATGGGTGAGTGAGAGTGCTCTAGTTGGTATAGGAGGGGCTTGCTCTGCCATTCTCTGTCCTTTCAATGAAAGTGGCAGGGATGCTTCCTGGACAAAGATGTCCACCTTTGGGGACACCTCCCTTGTATCCAGCATATGACACATATTGTGTTTGCTTGAAATTCTGTTGTTTTTTTGAGGCAGATGAGGAAAGTAAGATAGAGAGCATGATGGGGTTCCATGGGGCTTGGGGTTTGTTTCCCAGGATGTTTCCTAGCTTGGGAGTGGGTGCTGCATTGGTAGTAAACTTCACCTACCCATGGTCAATGGGCTTGAGGCACGAGGAACCACAGACTGGCTCTCTGGATGCATCTGCATGCATGCAATTCAGGGGCCCTAGGCTGTGGCTGAGAGCAGGGACAACTACCTAAAGTTTCCAGCTAAGGAATACTATAGATCACACATCCTGCTACCTGGGGTGCTCTCCAAACTTCCTCATAGTCAGTACCTCAGGGGTTCTGGTTAGAATGTGGGACTCAAGACTATGATACTCAAGGCTACAGTATTTGGAGAAGCCAAATTTAAATGTGCAGCAAAACCCACCATTGCTTCTTATGAATGATGCATGTGGAGGGGCTGTGACACCTCCCTTGTGGATGTGTTGTTAGGATTAGGTGAGATGACATCTCTAGTCTTGACTGGTACTTATTGAGCCCTCCATACATGTTTCTCCCTTCCTTTCTTCCTCTCACAGTCCATTAAGAGTCTGTGAAAGTTCCCAATAGAATTATGCTTCCTTCCCAATAGAAACAATGAATATTAAACTGATGGTTGTGGTTTTTAAAAATCCCAGCTAATTTTCTGGATACAGGTGTCAAATAATTGTAGTCTCTGCATGTCCCTTGGGGATCCCAGTGCCTTCTCCCTCACATACTTCCTGGGTTTATAAACTCCGGTCTTTTACTGTCTGTACCTATCAAACAGACACTGGTGGCAGGGACGCGGAGGAAGCCCAGGAAGGAAGCCCACCCTGGCCTCTCTGATCTTCAGCATCAGAAGGAAGCATCAAGAAAGCCTGTCTTCCTCACCTTTGAGTCCTAAAGAGGACTTGGTTATTGAAGAGAGCTTATGTTGCTGCCAAGGCAGCTTCCTGGAACTACAGCTGATCTTGGCAAACACTTGGTGGAAAGGGTGGTCAGCCACCCCAAGGAAACAGGCTGGAACATTCTTGGGCCACACTAGATGTTGAGTGGTGATGGTCCTTACAGTGACATGCACCTCCAGAGAGCAACCTCATTGAGTGACCTGTGCACTCCTATATTGCTCCTTCGTTGTAAAACAATCTTAAAAGTCATAAGGCAGATGGTCAAATAACTGCTTTTAACCTCAATTTCCTGTAAAAGGTTCTCAGAATGCAATGAAAAATGTCTCCTTGTTTCACCTCATTTTGAAGAATGATCACATTTTATATAAATTGCATTAAAATCTGATTGCATAGCATAGAGGACTGTGCAAAAACTGAAGGGGATGCTTGAGGCTGGGCCCAAGCCATTTTGAGCACTTAATGAAGGTGTCAGTGACACTTGCTTATTTTTTCTTTAAGAAGCAGTACAGGTGAGGAAACAGGAACTTTAAGATCAAGCCGACCTAGATGCCCATCTTTGTCTACTTTTTCTTTTAAAACATCTTCTTTCTTTTCCTTCCTCTTTTTCTCTCTCCCCCGACTCCCTCTTTCACTCTCTCTCTCCCCTGTCCCTCCTTCCTCCTCCTCCCTGTCTTTTGCAAGGAGAAAGTGACAATCTTCTTTTGCTGATCTCAATTGCACATGTTCATTGAGGATACCAAAGGGCGCCCCCATCAGTTTAGTAGGAAGATTGCAGAGGATGAGTAAAGCAAAGCGTGGTCCCCTGCCTGGAAGTGCTGGGTCAGCGGACTTTGTACCACCACCCCAGCCCTGGGCGAGCGACCTAGTGAGCAAGGTGCTCCTCGAGAGAACCTAACATGCTGTGGTCTGTCTTTTCCGCGCAGAAGTGGTCAATCAGAAGGCCGTGTATTTATTCAACCTGACCTCCATGCAAGAGTCAGAAATAATACTCACCGCCACTTTCCACTTCTACTTGGAGCCGCCGCGGTGGCCCCGCGCGCGGGAGATGCTATGCAAGCCACGGGCCAAGAATTCCTCTTGTCGCCTCCTGCCACCAGGCCCGCCAGTTCGCCAGCACCTGTTTTTCCGCAGCCTGTCACAGAATACAGCCACGCAGGGGCTACTTCGTGGGGCCATGGCCCTGGCGCCCCCGCCACGCGGTCTGTGGCAGGCCAAGGACATCTCCTCCATAGTCAAAGCGGCCCGTCGGGATGGCGAGCTGCTCCTCTCTGCCCAGCTGGATTCTGGGGAGAAGGACCGTGGGGTTCCCAGGCCCAGTCCCTACATTCCCTACATCCTTGTATACGCCAATGACCTGGCCATCTCCGAGCCCAACAGCGTGGCAGTGACACTGCAAAGATACGACCCCTTTCCAGCTGGAGACCCAGAGCCCGGCGCAGCCCCCAACAGCTCGGCGGACCCCCGTGTGCGCCGGGCCGCGCAGGCCTCCGGGCCCCTCCAAGACAATGAGCTGCCGGGACTGGATGAGAGGCCAGGACACATCCCCCACGCTCAGTACTACCACAAGCACGAGCTATGGCCCAGCCCCTTCCGGGCGCTGAAGCCCCGGCCTGGGCGCAAGGACCGCAGAAAGAAAGGCCAGGATGAGTTCATGACCTCCTCGCAAGTGCTGGACTTCGATGAAAAGACTATGCAGAAAGCCCGGAAAAGACAGTGGGACGAACCGCGAGTCTGTAGCCGGAGGTATCTGAAGGTGGATTTCGCAGACATTGGGTGGAACGAATGGATCATTTCGCCCAAATCCTTTGATGCCTACTACTGCGCAGGAGCCTGCGAGTTCCCAATGCCTAAGGTAGGATGGGTTTGAGTACCTCCTCTGTGTTCTGCCTATTGCCTAATCCTAACTCTCAGCTAGGCTCCCTCTGCCGGGCAATTCTCTGGCAAGTCCCTCTGCCTGGGTGACCTTTGTTTCATCATCTGCAAAATGAGTAGAATAACACATCCCATCTACAGAGGCAAAGAATAGGTAAACAGAGAGAGCCAAGTGGGAATCTGCTGGGTGGATACTGTCCACAGATATTTAATTTGTCTGGGTTTTTTTAAAGGTGTTCTCTTGTTTGCATTGGAATTTTAAAATCTGAACATCTCTCCTGAAAAGCAGGAAAATCCTTCACTTCAGAAGGGCACTCCTACAGAGCAGCCACCTACAGAGGTTGAGTCCAAGCTGTACCCTGTGGACAAGACAGGTCCTAGAAGCTTCTTTCCTGGCAGAAGTTTTCCTACTGTTCCTGGCTTGGATCCCCAGGCAGGGCTGTCTGTGACCAGCTGGCTGCTAGTCTCAGTGACCCCCCGCCAGTGTGGGCTTCCTTCTCTCTCCCTAGGGCACACGCAGGGTAGTCTGCAAGACAAACACTGGATCTTTCATTGTGCCATTCCTGAAGTTTCAGATCCTCCTCTCCCTATCCCAGCCAGGTTTGATTCTGTCCATCATCCTCCAGTAGCCTTTATTGAAGTGGATTGGCCATGTTAACCTCTGGCACGTAGCACAGTTTCCTCCTGCTTACTCTGCAGAATCCTCATGGCTTGCCCTACTAGAAAGGAAGTCAGTGCATAAATCCAATTTGAACCTCAATAAATCAGCCAGGTGGGAGAGCCCATAAACGGATGTGGGGCCACATTAATCTATTTTGGAATTAAGGGGTTTCTCCTCAAAGCCATGAATGTGTGTGAGAGAGGAAGGGAAGTGCCCAATGGGGAGAGGGGATCTGCTAAAAGGGCTTACCAGTGGGGACAGGTGTAAGACCAGAATCTACAGGCTTGCAGCTGGCTGACCTCATGCTTACCTTATCTACCTAACTGGCTGCCTCCCCACCTTCTGGGACACCAGCCAGCACACTAACCATAACCCTACACATGAGGGTGTCCTTGTCCTGCTATTGCTGCCTCTCCTCCTCCTCATCTAAGAAGGCCTTCTTGTCATTAATGAGCTGAATTGAGTGACTCAGCTATATTCATAGATGGAGGCAGGCCACTTTCTAACCAAGGGGTCATGTCTAATTTAGTCGTTTTAAGTCTCAATATCTTCACTGGTAAAATGAAAGTCATATTCACCCCATAAAATTGTTAAGATGGCAGAAGGGGATGATATGGTAAAACTGTACCTGCCACCCCAATTTAGGCATGTCTGGGAAGTGTAAGTTTCAAGCCCCAGTACACAACCCAGCCTTCTCCCTCAGAACAGATTCCATGAGAGGCACGTCTATATTCCTCAGACTGTGAAGTCTGGGCATCTGGCCCTCCAAGCAATGCTGACTGAGCCATACCCTCAGCTTTCACCCTGGACAGTTTCTGTCAGCTCCAGGTGCCTTTCAGGAATATGTGACATTCTCGCGCCCCCAAGTGGCCAGGGAGGGTCTACAACATCACTTCAGCTGCAGGAATAAGCTGACAGGCCTGGGGGTTCTTGCAGACCTCAGCCTAGAACTGTTTATACCTGATTTCAGAGGAAATATGTGTTCATCCCTGGGAACTTATGTTTGCTTCTAGGTCAGTGTTTCCAGAGTCTGGGTCAATGGTCTGTCACTGTGAGGACTGCTCTGGTGGGAAGTTGGATGAGAGAGGGTAGAACACTGAGGTGACCCTGCTTCTTTCTCACCCTGCAGATTGTTCGCCCATCCAACCATGCCACCATCCAGAGCATTGTCAGGGCTGTGGGCATCGTCCCTGGCATCCCAGAGCCCTGCTGTGTTCCAGATAAGATGAACTCCCTTGGGGTCCTCTTCCTAGATGAGAACCGGAACGTGGTGTTGAAGGTGTACCCCAACATGTCCGTGGAGACGTGTGCTTGCCGGTAAGACTGCCCAAGGGTTGAAGGCAGTCTCAGCACCAACTCCTCAGCCAGCAGAGCGGCATTCTCATAGCCTTTTGGAGCCAGGACTTGACTAAGTGTGTGACTACAGATGCAGGGCGGAGCTTACAGACAACCCACTGGGGTCCAGAAAGGTCTGTCCATCTGGTCATCGTTCTGGAGTCTTTTGTTGCTAATGACTTAGCCACCTAAATGCTTCCTGAGTTCCTGGAAACAAAAAACGGAATTATCCTTGGCCTGAAGTTTTCCCATTGGCTCTAACTGCCACTTTCAAGACCCAAAAATGGACAGGTCCTCAGTGTTGGCTTTATGTGTTATCATCTCATAACCTGAGAAGACTATGCAAATCTTAGGGTGCTTGCTCCCTTCACATGGAAAGAATCTCTGTTTAAATGTTCAGTTTAAAATCTTTCAGGCCACATAGGGAAACAGGGCCTGAATGAGTGTTTTGTTTCACACTCTACTATAAAAGCTTTTATACATACATATGCACATATAACCAATTTTGGTTTTGTTCTCTTAATATATATTTTATTTTAAAACAAAGAGGGGCATTTGACACCATTCCCCACAGAGATAATCATGCTGGTTAGGTGTGGATTCTTTAAACATGCATATGAAAATAACATATACAGTAATATGTTGAAATACTAAAAAATAACCAAGATTTTATATTTTTGTAAATTATACTTTGTATACTGTAGATTGTGTGTGTTGTGTGTTTTTATGGAAAGCTAATAAATTAAAGTTACAGTGGTATTTCAAAAACCTAAGTGTCACCTATTTCTAACTATAGATTGATTCCTACCTTTGAGACATCTGGTGGCTGCTATAGACACAGCATCCTCTAAGATAGGTGGAGGCCATCTCTGTACTTTCTCCATGTCTGTCCCAAGCTCCAGAAACCCCACTGCTCCTGGGCCTTCCAAGATCCTGCCCCAATCCCTCTGTCATGCAAATTCCCAGCCTGCGCTGGCATTAAAATGGGGCATGACTCTCTGCAGGCACACTGGCTACCTGGAGTTTTCTCATATCCCTATCTCAGAGTGACCTTCATTGATTGGGAAATATTGACAGGAACTTCCGCGATTGTCTTACCCTTCAATGAGAAGAGATCTTACTTAGGGTAGTTTACATGGGAGGTGATTCTCAAGTGGAGGGGTTCTCAAGTGGTCCAGGGATTTGGGAGTAACTAGACGGATCAAATGATTTCCTTGTGTATATTTACAGAATGTTCAACACCCAGCAGCCTTGTCCCCAGATGGCTCCCTTTTGCCTGGCATTGAATTGCCTTACTTATAGCCATAGTGACCAAAGCCTATTAACTGCATTTCTGAAAGAGATTCTGGGTTCAATTTTAAGCAGGTGCATTTTAGGGCCATCAGCCAGAATCTAAGAAAATGACATGGCCCTGAGTTTTGCCTACATAGACTGTAAATCTGCCAGAGCTTGTCTAAGAGGAGATTCAGCAGAGAAGCAGCCTAAGGTGTCATCATAAGTGAGGCTCCCAAGGCCAGGCCTCCTATGTAAGGGATGGATAAGGAAGTGTTCCAGGAGACACAGGAAGAGAAGAGAAGGAAGAGAAGGGGCTGAACATCCCAGCCACATTTATCAGGCTTCTCTGGGGAACTCTGGAGCTTGCATCAGGCTTCAGAGTTAGTCTAGCCTTAAGGCTAGGGAACTGGATGTGTGGCACTCCCTGGCTTCAGGCTGCCCCTGGGAGGGGAGTTGTCAGATTTCAGCCTTTTATTTAGGTAGCCACAGGGTCTTGGAAGCCCCAGCAGTCTTTGAAGAAGGCTACACTCAGAGCCATTGGATGTAGAATAACTGAGATTGGAAAGCAAGCATGCAGACTGGTAGGTAAGGGGAATCCAAAGGCACCTTGGTGGGGCGTGGCCCCATTTGTGGAGCCCTTTCTCTGAGGCATGCCAAGTGACCCTGGGGAGCCCAGCTGCTGAGTGGTCCTATCTGCTGACAGATCATATGAGGCAGAGAGGTGGTGCTCTGCACAAAGGCTGCCTTACCCCTTGATCCCATGGGAGCTGTATATGGGATGAAATGGTTCTTTTCAAGTTGCTGTGGATGGCTGGGATGTCTCAAACTGACTGCAAATTTAGTGCCTGCTTAGCCATGTCTAATCCTTTGTGGAACATAGCAGGATATAAGTGAATAGCAAAATTAGTAAAGATATTAGGGTGTGAAAAGACTTCAAATCTCTTTCTTCTAAATGTTAAGTCCCTTGTGTGCCTCCTCCACTCATTTTCCCCCCCACCAGACTGCTCCCTTTCTCTCTTTGATAAAGATGGGGTGACCTATGATAGCTTCACTTTATTCTTTCAGTTACTTGTATTTTCTGAGAGATCTTTGGGATTCTCCTAATGCCTGTGACACCTCTCATTCTTTGTCTCTGGATTTCTGGATTGGGGCAGGGTAGGCTGTGAGACACGCCCAAGGATCTGGCCCAGGGCAGGAGTTCAGCCTATGCCTGAATGGACAGTATTCAGTGGGTGACATCTTTCTTGGAAATGCCACGATAACTTTTAGATGTGGAGAATGGGACATACAGATGACATACATCCCTACTCTGTAGTGGAAGGAGCTGGTGTTATCAGTGACCCTAATAAATTTAGTTGTGACATCCCATTTAGCCCCACAGAAGCCTTCCAACTTACTGTCCAATTGAACACAGAAAAACAGACTCAGGGAGGATAAGTAACACATCCATTAATGTCTTACTAAGGCCACAGGTTTGATGCCCAAGGCTGCCTGAGTCAAGGCCTACGAAGACTGTTATTGCTCTGAATTTCCTGGTAAGTTATCCCTTCTTTGAGTCTATTAAAGTTGTCCCAGTGGCCTTGAGCACCATCACAGTAAGGTTTAAGAATAAATGTATGTATAAAGTAACTTCTTTCCCTTTAAAACCAAAATATCAACACTACATTTTCACAAAAATCAGAAGATCCCAGCAATACCACTTAGATAGATACACACAGGTCCCTGAGACCACTCAATTAGGCCTGTATCATTTTGAAGAGAAAAGACCTAGTGACCTGGTGCTAGACCACATCCCTGAAGGTACAGCATCTTACAGATCAGTTCATGTCACCAAAATCAAACAAAACAACTGAGATCCAGAAACTTTAAGGCTTGAATAAACTCTAAGAATCTTCTGATATAACACTTCCTTGAGAAAATCCTAGTACTAACAGATATTTTGTCTGAGGCACCAGAGAAGGAGCCTTTCTATGTCTGAGTCACTCATTAAATGTCATGAGATTCATCAAATGCCTAGAAACAATGCTGCTTCTGTGGCCAGGATGAAGACAGTACTGTGATGGGAGAACTGACAGTTGTCTGGAGTAGGGGTGAGAGGGTATGAAGAGGGAAGAAAGGAGAAAACCCCACAGAGATGCTGACTTTGATTCAACCAGGAAGGAAGGGCTGTACTTGGCTGTTGGAGTAAGAATGTCACACGTGTCAGCATGTGCGTAGAGTGTTTGATGGCAGCACATCTAAGGTAGGAGGTGGCTTGATCAGCCCTCCTGGTGGGCACACTAGGAGGGCGGACCATCTTGCCAGTCCTGGCTTAGTTCACTAGAGCATTGAAATTATCACGTGCCAAATAGAAGCAGGCTCTGGGACCTAGGGGCTGGGAAGGAATTTACCAGCTCTTCCTGACCCAGGCTCTCCATGCAGTCTCAGGATGAATCTACTTTTTATTCCTTTGAGCAATATGTGGGGTGTTGAGAAGCTTAGAGAAGGGACAGATGTCCTCACAATGATGTCTCCTGAAACAGAAGGGGATCCTGACACCCTGTGGGCAGCCATTTCCAAGAAACTCAAGCAGGTCCTTTCTTACCTCCATGAATAAAGGTTGAAGTCAATGTCACTGCATTGGAAGAAAAAGCTTCAATGAAACCTGAAATAAATGGATGAGCCACATCTGCTTCTACTGTTCAATAAACTGTGATTATCCCACAGCTACTGCATGGGATTTCTATAAATCACAAGTCCTGGGAGGGATGATGCTATGAAAGCTTTGTTTAAAAGTCATCACGCACAGGAATGTCAAACTGCCTAGACATCACAAATAGACATGGAAGCCAAGGCCAAGCTGGCAACAGCCAGGTCAAACCCAGTCAGGCCAGGACACCCCACAGAACACTCCTCCTCCAAGGATAGAATGGCTCAAACCAGGAGACCAGCAGCGCTAGGGCCCTTTGTTTTCTCAGACATATCCAGCAAAGTGCAGCTGCTCAAAACCCAGAGGTTGTATGGTGAAGGAGTCCTAGGTTGTCACCCAAGGACAGTCAGGAATTGTCCAGGTAGAGGAAGACAGGGAGGATGTGAGGCCTGGGAAGGATAATCTGGCCCATAGGTAGGGAAAGAGACAGTTATAGGAAGCCTAAGCACTATATTGACAATAGCAATAATAATGATTATTTATTGAATGCTCGCCATGTTCTAGGTTCTATGCTAAGGGTGTGTTCCTAAGAGCTCCCAGGCATCTGGGGAGTCCTTTGGCTTCTCTCTGGACAGTGACAAATGTGATTCCTGAGCCTGGCCTTGGACCAGGTGAGAATTGGCCAGAGTTTTATCTCTTGGGAGGCTGAAGTCCATACTCTGTGGCATGGCTCAGCAAAGCATAATATAGGGGCTGGGAAGGAATTTACCAGCTTTTCCTGACCCAGGCTCTCCATGAATATAAGGAAGAATGCAGTCCAGCCCAGTTAGCAATGCACATTAGCTTTTGTTGTGGGTGTTCATTAACTTACTATTAAAAGACAAAATTACAACAAATTTAGTTTAAGGATTTTAGCTGACTTTTCTGATTCCAAGTGTAAATTGTTGGAGGTGCCCTGGATGCAGATGCCTTTAAGTCCTGATGTATGAGGTTCTGAACAATTATTGCCTTCAGTCTGGCATGGTAGTGCCAGGTCTCAGTAACCTGGGTGTTACCCCAGCTTGGGTAAAAGGCACGGCTCC